GTAATGTTTTTGAAGAAGAATGATGTTGCTATGCCAAGGCAGGGGTATACCTTGGAGAAAAAGATTTCTCAACTGGCTCAAGATCTTAGTCCTATACAGTGTTCTGTTCTGGTTTGGTCATCTGCTACTGACATTATGTCTTACCTGAAACTCCTTATAAAGGAATAATTCAAATGATAAAAGTAAACTGATATATTAACTTCCTGGGAGAGAAAAACTGCATGTATATAGAAGCACAAAATTGGAAATTTGGGCTAATATCTGAATTGACTTTTTTTAAACACAGTATAAAGCTGTTTATGTTCAATCTTGGCAATATTAGGAAAGTGAAGTAAAAAAGGCCTTCTAACATAGTACACATTCCAACCTAAGTGGAGGAGGGGGATTTCGAGAGGACTTGTCATTATTCTTAGTCTACTCTCTCCCCACCAAGCCTTTACCAACTATATAACTGACCTTTGCTGTCCCACACACTTGGGGGAAGGAGTAGGATTAGCGCAAAAAAGAATGAAATTCTTTACTTACAAAACATTAGGTGATGGAAGCATGGTTCTGGAACTGTTGGCTTTTATTCTTCTTTGATCTGATTGTAAATTATTTGGTATGCTTATGATCTTGTTTCGTCTGAAGATGCATCTATATTTTCAGTCTACTAAATATTTTACCAAACAAAATGACTTTTTAATAGTTTGTGTTATCTTGTATTGTAAAGACAATAAAAGTTGCTGTCACTGACATACGCAGTTTATGTCATATATTCTGCTGGTCTGTGTGTCATCAGGCACCTGTTCTTGTCAGGGCCTGGAGAGAGTGAGCACAAGTGTAGGTGTCAGCCTTTGGCTAACACCTTCATTTATTTTGCCAGTCAGACCCTTTCTCTTCTGGCAGGCAGTAAGGATGTTGCTGTTCTGTTTAAAGAAAAGTCTCTCCCCTATTCCAACTACTGCCCCAACGGTGGCTGCTGCCACTCTGTGTAGAGCTAACACAGGTTTGAGCATCCATGCCGACAGCTCCGAGTCAGCTGGGTGCCTTTTTCTTGCCTGGTTTCTGCTGCAATGCACAGGCCCACAGAATGGTGTGTGTATATACATGTTTACACTGATTTTACTTATTCACTCTCATCCATATCTATAGTACAATCCTCTCTTACAGGGTGGAAGGGAACATCTATGTCCATTTTAACTTTTAAGCAGAATTGTTCTGTCTTTAAATAATTTAAGGAATCATTTGTGAACATTCAGTCTCTTCACCACTGACAGTGTGATGAATCTTGAGTTTGGCTATGCTTATAAAGATATTAAAAATAAGTCTCATTAAAATTAAATAATGTATTTCCATGCCAAATGTTTTTCTTCTTGTAGTCCTACAAAAGGTCCAGAAGGATGATGTCGTCTGCTATTAAACTGAAGTCAGTTTTAGCTTAAGTGCTTTAATAGCTGATAAATTAGTTCAGTTTCACGGCATCTCAGTTGCTGATGTCTGAGGTGTAACTCAGCTGCCTGCAGTTGCCATATTTATCTTCTTTTGTTTTCTGTGCAGCATTGTTCTCATTTTCTTACAGACATTAGATGTTGTCACTACCTTCTTTTTTATTAATTGAAGATTTTTAGGAGTGGTCTTGCCTGTTTTCAGGCTGATAGTGTATATAAATAAAGATTTCTGTTGCATAGTTCCTTCCTTGCTTCACCTATTTTAATGAATTGTAGAAGGCTGCTTTGAACAATCTGTTGTCCAAGATATCCAGACTAATATACTTGAGTTCTCAGGAGCTTTGCTTTATTCATGGATATTTGATAGGTATCTGAGATGTTCATATTAGGGATCTTGCCCTGTTGTCTTGCACAGGGGCATGAAGAGAATATCTGAAGATCTGATGGGTCTCAAGTTTTGACAGGTTTAAATTGTCTGATTTACAGGTCATACAAAAGACGGTAATGGCTGTTGCACAGGACACTTTTGTATGTTACTTTGGGTTTTAAGTTGTTGCTGTGGTTTAACCCCAGCTGGCAACTAAGTATCACGCAGCGGCTTGCTCACTCCATCCCCCCCTCTTTGGGGAAGAGAATTGGGGAAAAAATTAAACCTTGGGGTTTGATAAGAACAGTTTAATAATTGAAACAAAATACAATACAGTATTGTACTACATATAGTACTACATATACTAAATGATTATGATAATTGTAATGAAAAGGAGAGATAAAGGAAAGAAGTCCAGAAGAAAAAAGTGATGCCCAATACAGTTGTTCACCATCTGCTGACTAATGCCCATCCCATCCCCAAGCAGTGATTGTCCCCTCCCAGCCAACTCCCCCCAGTTTGTGTACTGAGTGTGACATCCTATGCTATGGAATATCCCTTTGGCCACTTTGGGTCAGCTGTCCTGGCCATGTTCCCTGCAATTCCTTGTGCAGCTCCTCACTGGCAGAGCATGGGAAACTGAAAAGTCCTTGACTTAGGGTAAGCACCACTTAGCAACATCCAAAACATCAGTGTGTTGTCAATATGATTCCCATAGTAAACCCAAAACACAGCAGTGAACCAGCTCCTAAGAAGGAAATTAACTCTATCCCAGCTGAAACCAGGACAGTTGTGTGTCTCTACTTCTAGATGTACTGCTGAATGTTCCATGTTCTGTGCTGATCTCTTCTGTGATTTTAGAACTTAGTTGTGGTATAGCTTGCTTTCAGCTTGTCCACAGATCTCAGATGCTGCTTACTTTAAAACCCAAAAAAGTAGTATGTCAATAATTACTCAGCTTTTTTTTGCCACTTACATTAATTATTGCTCTTTTGGCCTTAAGGAACCTATCTCATAGTTTGCTGTGAGAGTGAGAAATTGGGTGAGAAATTAATCTTCACACTCAAAAAGGGGTTCTTTTTGTGGTTTTGATGAAAGTACTGAAGCGGGAGTTGAGAGCAGATTAAGTAAAATAGACTACTTGAAATATTAGCAATTAGGATCTAATCACTTCAAGTAGAGGGTAGAGCTCATGCTATTTGCTAGACAAAGTGCATGTTGGAGACAGAAGAAATTTTTGAATTCCAGTAGGCAGACCATTAAGCTATTAAACAGGTCTTGTTTGGGTTTTTTCACCCCCCTCTTAATAAAGAGAAGAGGGGACTTTTCTGAAGCATCACAATTACCAATTTTTTCCACATTTGGTTATCATGGAGGGGAGATGAGTGTCTCCAAAACATGAAGGTGGTTTGAGCTGGTAATCCAGCCAAAAGAGAAAGGGAGAAGCTCCTTGAAGGGGATATATGTTCAGTACTAAGTGTTGCTGACCTCCAGACTTGCTGACAGTTTAAATCTACATGCTGTCTGGGAGATGGCTTGGGTAAAATGTTATGTAAAGAAACGCATAATGGAAGGCATCCGTGTATGGGAAACTCTGTATGGTGACAGGTCTGCCACCATACACCAGCTACTATGGAGCGTACTTAGTATTCTGTGCTAGTAGGATGGCCAAGACTTGGAAGAAGTTCGTGTTTGTCCATAGGAAGCTGATGAAGTGGAAAATGCAAAACCACAGCAAAACAAATCTCTTGACGAGGGGATGTATAAACAGACTTGGGGCTGTACAAGGGAATGCTCCAGAGAAAGAAATGGGGTAATGTAGCTGAGGAACAGTCTCATGGCAGAGACAGCAGGGCTGTTGCTAATTTCTGGGTTACACTGCAAAACTCCAATTCTCTGAGCTAGCGATGCATCAAGAGGGGTTGATGAAACAGAAGGTAAAGATGTGTGAAGGTGTACTTTTTGGTTTTGTGGGGTTTTTTTGTTTGTTTGGATTAGTTTATTTTTGTCTCATGTTACTATGTAAAGGCCAGGGGCAAGTTTGAGTCCTGTTGCATGGTTAGTACAGGCAGAAGGATGGCAGAGAGGTATGTCCACATACATGTTCCTGTTTGGATTCCTTTAGTTCATGCTTCTGGTGGGCATTGTGGAGGAAGAACCACTAGTAATTGAAAGAAAAATATGATGCTTTTTCATCTGTGTAGAGCAGGAGCTCTCCTAATTTCTCCTTTTGAGTTTTGCTGGCACAATAACAAATACCCACCTCCTTTTGGTAGGAGAAACCATTGCCAGTCCCCTCAACCCAGCAGAGCCTGGCTGGATCCAAACTCTTCTGCAGATGAGGGAGGACCACAGCTGCTTGAACCTAGAGGATGCTGTGTTTCAAATAAAGGTGTCCATTGCAGAAAACCTTTTGCTAGCGGAGAAGAGAAAGACTTCTTAAATTGTGAACCACGTTTTCAGAAGTTGCAAAGCCAATATAGCCTTCTTCCTGAATGATTTACTTCTAGTTGAAATCTGTCGGCAGAAATTGTGACTATCCTTTGCACTCTGCCAGGTTCGGGTGTATGGGGAGAGCTCTGGCCGCCTCCTTTCGACTCCTGCTGTCAGTCAGTGGGAGAGCCTCTGGTTCTTGCTGCCCTTCCCAGTGTCGCTCCTGGGAGCGAGGGGCGCCTCCACCAGAGGCGGCTTCAGGTCGCTGTCAGCGGCAGCCGAGGCCCCTCGCTTTGTTGTGTGGCTGAGTGACACCGAGCTGGTGACGCTCCCCAGGCATCTGCTCCTGTCCCTAATACGGCCGGGCCGTCTGTCACCAGCGCGGACAGCCTTTAACCCCTGTCCCGGGGTGGGAGCGCCGGGGCGGCGGCGGCAGCGGTTCGGGCCGGACCTTCCCGAGGCGAGCGGGCGGGAGGGGACCGGGCGGGGCGCCGGAGCCGCGACCCCGCAGAGGGGTGGGGAGGGGGGGGGGGGGGGGGGGGGGGGCGGCCGGGACACCAAAATAGGAGCTGCTGCTGCTGCTGCGGCCCCGCCGCTCTCGCCGGCAGCTGCTCTTCCAAAGGCAGTCCTGCGGCCGCCGCGGGCTGGGAGCGCCCCTGGCCGCGGCCGCGCTCCGCACGGGCGTAAGCGCCGCGCCGCGCGGGGCGGGTCGGGCGGGCCGGGCCCGCAGCCGGGGCGGCCGGGTTGCGCTGAGCACCGCGGACAAAGCGGCGGGAGCTGCGGGGCGCGGCGATGGCCGAGGCAGCGCAGGAGGAGTACGCGTACCTGTACAAGGACTCCGGGCATCCCGCCGGCTTCCTGGAGGCGTTCCGGGCGTTCTACCTGGACGGGCTGTTCACCGACATCACCCTGCAGTGCGCTTCGGGGGTCATCTTCCACTGCCACAGAGCCGCCCTGGCAGCCTGCAGCAGTTATTTCAAAGCCATGTTCACAGCCGATATGAAAGAGAAATCCAAAAACCAGATCAGCCTTCCCGGGCTCAGCCATGCGGTACTGGAAGCCCTCGTGAATTATGCATACACATCACAGATCCAGATAACAAAGAGAAATGTCCAAAGCCTACTCCAGGCTGCAGACCTGCTCCAGTTCGTGTCAGTAAAGAAAGCCTGTGAGCAGTTTCTGGTGAGGCATTTAGATACTGACAACTGCATAGGGATGCACTCCTTTGCTGAATATCATAATTGCTCGGAACTAGAGAAGGAGTCCAGGAGGATATTGTTATGGCAGTTTGAAGAAGTGTGGAAGCAGGAGGAGTTTCTGGACATTGGCAAGGAGAAGCTCTCTTATATTCTTTCCAGGGAGAATCTCAATGTTCGGAAAGAAGAGGCAGCCATTGAAGCTGTCGTTAACTGGGTTACACACAATGTGGAAGAAAGAATTGAAGACGTCTATGAACTGCTGAACTGCATCAAAGTAGACTTAGATAACATGTATTTGAGGTCAGCTTTAAGCCTACAAAAAAAATGCCGACTCAATGGCCGTAAGATAAGGTCACTCATATACAAGGCCCTCAACCTCACACCCAAGAGTCTTTCCAGAAGACCCACAGCAGCCATGTACGTGATTGGAGGATATTATTGGCACCCCTTATCAGAAGTGCATGTTTGGGATCCTTTAACCAACGCATGGGTCCAGGGAACAGAGATGCCGGATCACACCAGAGAGAGCTACGGGGTCACTAGCTTGGGACCAGACATATACGTGACAGGAGGTTACAGAACAGAGAGCATTGAAGCCCTTGACACCGTGTGGATATATAACAGTGAGAGGGATGAGTGGACAGAAGGCTGCCCCATGCTCGACGCAAGGTATTACCACTGTGCAGTTTCCTTGAGTGGCTGTGTCTACGCGCTGGGGGGGTATCGAAAGGGAGCTCCTGTGCAAGAAGCTGAGTTCTATGATCCTTTAATACAGAAATGGCTTCCTATTGCAAACATGATCAAAGGTAAGTAAACTTTTTTATGGTGTCTGCCTCCAGTGCCGATCCTTTTGTATTTGTCACTTTTAAGTGCCATGGACACATTTAGGGCTTGATCCCAGTTCTAGAGAAGTTAACAGGAATCTCCTGTTAATATTGGTGGGCTTTGGTTCAGGTCTTCACTAGCCAAAAGACTGCAAACATCCAAACGCTACAGTGGGCTGTGCCATGGAACACTAGGGTAGAAAAGCAAGTGGTAGTCTTGTTTAGTTTTGCCTTCTTTCAGAGTAAGATTTCTGTCAAAATAGAAAGAAATCAGAAAACCACCTGGGGTTAGAGTCAATTCAGTAGATGGTCAAAGAGCAAGCTCCAATAAAGGGATTGTATTATTTTAATAGAAGGCCAGATTATTAAGATTTTCTGAGCAATCATTTATAAAGGTGTCATCATTTAGAACTTCTTGCATGCAGTTTCCTTCTATTTCTGTGTATCATCTGTTCAGGATCCTTTGTTTAATTGTTAGTGTGAGGATAATGAAAAGCACTAATACCTGTTTCTAGCAGCCAAAACAGTGATCTATTAAAAAGATATGAATCATAGCCAAACTAAAGGGTATAATTTTGTTACAAAATTTATAAGCAGTTATCCATTTCATCATACATTTTTATAAATTAATGCAAATATTTACAATTAATTATAATAATTTAGTGTAAGTTGATGCAACACAGTATTTTACTACTTACATAGAGTTTTTGGAGATATCTGTAACAGGAAAGAAACATGTTTCTGCAACTTTCTTCATTGTTTGTATATTTTCCTCAAATATTGCTGCTATTCTCTTTTTATTTGCTTCAAAAATAGAAATGTTATGCTAATATTGTAAGCAGTTGCATATTCTGTGCCGTTGTTTTGTCCAATTTTCTGCATGGAACATCTTATGTGCTCAACTTCCCCCTTGTTTTATTTCATTTTGTTATCCTAGAGACAGATTTAACATGCCTCCATTCTATTTATGTCCTTGTTTATACAATACCATAATTAGTAATACCATGAGAATGACTAAAATTATTAGAAAAGACACTGAACAATCTCAATTCCCATTGTCTTTGTCGGTGCCATATAAGTGATTTTTTAACATCTCTTTGACTTAGTGAAATATTGAAACTAATTCCCTACTCCAAAACCAATGTGACAGTATGATTTTAATTACTGCCTAAAAATGCTGTGAACTATCATATTATATGCGATATGTATTGGTTACTGCAGTTTTATTTAGTTGTTCTTGACTTACACTGATAAAGTGTCTTGACAAGTCTGTTTTACTCACATTCAGTCTGAACTTTCATACTGTGTACAGGGGTTGGAAATGCCACTGCCTGTGCCCTGCACGAAGTCATCTACGTAACTGGAGGTCACTATGGGTACAGGGGAAGCTGTACCTACGATAAAATCCAGAGATACCATTCAGGTAGCAATGAGTGGAGTATAGTCACCACAAGTCCACATCCAGGTAAATAATAATTTCCGTAACGCATGTAGAGCTTGATTTGATGACTTGTACCTGGGAGTCCTTCAGCCCAGTTAAGAGGTTTTGGCATATTCCTAATTAAAAAAAAGAAATGCCTGTAGGGCACCAAGGGCCATTTCCAGACTGAGAGGGAAAGGAAAGACCTTCTTCAAGCATCTGTTGTATAGAAATTGCTATACAAATACAGAATTAATGAATGTCTACATTCTATTAAATAATATAACTTTCTATAAAATCTATTCATAGACATTTGGTAAAAATAATTTACATTAATTTTAGAAGGGTTTTCTCTATGTTCTACACCTGGTAACAGTAAGTTTTTAAAGCAATTCTCACTAAGTACTGCTGCTCAAGTCTTTATCTTCTGTAATGCCTTCAGCTTTCTTTTACCAAGTGTAGCAGAAACCTGAGGTGTCTCCTAAGCCCAGTGAAGAAACTCAGCCACCCTCAGTGGTGCCCAGTGTTTGTCATGTAGTTGCACTTTAAGTTAAGGTTATCATGCTGAGTTGTACTGTATTCCTTTCTTTCTGAAGAATACGGATTGTGTTCAATTACATTACAAAACAAGATATATTTTGTGGGTGGACAGACCACGATCACGGACTGCTATGACCCAGAGCAAAATGAGTGGAAGCAGATGGCTCACATGATGGAGAGAAGGATGGAGTGTGGCACAGTGGTCATGAACGGATGCATCTATGTAACAGGAGGATATTCCTATTCAAAAGGAACGTATCTGCAGAGTATTGAGAAATATGACCCTGAACTGAATAAATGGGAAGCAGTAGGAAGTCTTCCCAGCGCTATGCGGTCACATGGCTGTGTCTGTGTGTATAATGTGTAAACATTTAATGTTCATCTTGCTGTTACAGCAAACAGCAGATGCAGTATTCATAAAGCACTGATTACCTCATGACTGAGTTGTCTGATACAATCTCTTAGCGCATATTGTTGAAAACCAGGTATAATTTTTTCTCATTTTAAACAACTCAGAAATATAGACATGGTAACAAGATTTCCATATATTTTTCGGTCCAATCATTTTTCATCATGAAAGTTCTCAAATGACTCTCTTATAATACTTTATGCAGCTACATAGAAACTACTGTGAAAAACAGATTTGTTTTTGTTAATCACTGTGGGAAACTATGATCTGGTGCTAAGATGACTAAAGCCAAACCAAATACTTTACATTTCTAAGGGCTACTGGGCTTCAGAGGAAATCTTTGTATTCTGAAGGTAGCTATAGAAATGGATCGTTGCCCCAAGCTAAGTGTATGGTACATACAAAGCAATATCACTTGGATAACTAGGTTATCATATTCAGAAATGGGCATTTATAGGATGCCTCCAATTCTACCTTCAAGTGCCAGAGTGAAGAAGAGCAGGGTCTAGGAATGAGGGAAGAAATGTCAGGCAGTAGCCTCAGAGCACAAGCCAAAAGTGTACACTAGTTTTCCAGAAGAGCAGTGCTCTGAAGTACAAGGGCATTTGAGAAAAGTAGTCTCTTTGCCATTCTTACACTCACTTTGACATTGCCCATAAGAAATGAAAAACTACTCTGCAAGGCTTTGCAATGGGCTCTTTGGCTGATGCACAGATATTTGTGGGGGTTTTTTTGTTTGGTTGGTTGGTTGGGTTTTTTCAGAGAAAAGCCTTGACATTGTAACTCTTTTTTAATATCAAATTCAAGATAGGTGTCTGTGTGGAATGGAAGGATGAAATGAGAGAGATTGGAAAGCTGCTAATGTCCCCCTCCGATACAAACTTCTCTATTATGTTTAATACCATTTGATCTTTGCTAAAAGTACTGAACTGTGACTTGAGCAAAGGTGACAACTGAAGAAACTTGTCAAAATATGTTATTCATGGACAGATTGAATGCTAAGTGGTCTACAGGATTGATTTCTTTATTATTTCTCTCAAGATGTAATACGAGATCTTCAAATTCTGTGTAGAAAGCAGATTTTTGAAAAGTGCTTTGTAGAAAAATGGATCACACTCTGAGTGGCCTGATAGCAGTGATTCAAATAAAAAAATGCCTTGGGGAGCAGAGAAGCTTTTTTAGCGCCATCAGTTCCCAATCCAGCTTATAAAATGACTGCAGAAAGAACTGTTAGACATTGGTGAGAGAGGCAGGGGCAACACAGGGCTGCTGAAGGGTGTAGTGGGAACTTCCCACACCAGCACTGTCACCTAAAATGAAATTTTGATTTTATTGGATTTATCAGATTCAATGAAAGGAACTTCCCAAGCAGGTAAGCCCTGAATTTATAGTATTTCTTTTTCTTGATCATAAGCGTTTTCAACATTTTTTTTTTGTTCTTTCGCATTTTAATGCTATTTCTTACTTGCATTTGACTGCTGGTAGCAGGCAGCACTCAACTCTGAGCTTTGATGTGAAGTTCTGTGGTGTGTATATATATAGTTCTTGTTTTGATGTCTTTGTATGTCACCTGACTAAGTCAGAAGCTCATGTGTGCGTGGGTTCAGTGTTTTGCTTCATTACACATCCCACTGGGAGCTATTTAAGGATCCAATGTAATTTGTTTAAAGACTCTAAACTGTAAAACGGTGTGGGGAATTGAACTCTAATGCTGTTTGAAATGCGTTGGCCAGGCTGGTGGGCAAAAGAAATAACATGAATTTGTTTCTCCTGGAAATCTCCACAGCTGAGAAATTGTTCAAATACAGGTAGAGCAGTAAAGGACAACATTGCAAAAGCATGAAGGTGATCTTTGTATTGAACAAAACCACAGTGAACTCAACATATGTAATTTTTCAGTTCAAATTATGTACCTGTGAAGCTTCATGTTTGTTGAAAAACATGAGCATAGAATAGCTGCTTATGGCTGCCCCTGAGGTTCATTCTGGCCCATATCCTGTCACCGACACTCGTGGGTCGAGGAAAGGATCTAAGAACAAGGTGAGGACTAACAAAACAAAACCCCCAGTGTCCACTTGGCCACTGCTTCTAAACTAGGTGCTTAGCCTTCCTTCATGAAAGACAGTACTGTTCCAGGGCAGGAGCACAGGCATTGGAAGCTAGATCTGCTTTGTCCCCGTGGGCACCCTGCAGGTGAGCAATTTGCTGCTTTCTGGCCTCAGTGCTAAGTGGAAAAAAGCCTTTAGTTCTTCCATGCCAGGAGAGCATGTGCTGGTCTGGCACAAACAAAAGTAAATGAGATTACTGCCTAGGACGTCTGGTAAATTCTAATTTTTCAGAGACTTTGAATGCATTAGAATAAATGGAGATCAGAAGAAGTTCAGACTCGTGGTTAAATTTCAACTGGTGCCATTTTTCACAATAACCTACAGTGCTCTTTTAAATTAGCTAATGTCTGTAGAATATCCCAAGGTGTGCTGCCATCAGGTCTTGGACACAGGCAGGAATATGAATTCAGCAAGAGGAATAGGGATTCTGCCTTCTGGTCAGCGACCTACAGCAGGTGGGAAGCTCAGAACAGGGAATGTTTTAGCCATCTGTATGGTATGTTTTTAATAACAGTTGAATGTAAACACTGAATTATTGTGCTATCAGACCTGTATTACGGTAGACACAGTTTTACTGTTTTACTTGTAAACTAGAAAATTAACTAATACAGAAATCAAATAACTTGTAAAGCCCGTGTTTGTAGCGCCATAGATGTCCACAGTACATCTTCAGTACTTCAGTGAATGTTTGCAGTATTCAATAAATGTAAATATACTACTACTGTACAAATACAAGCTTTTAAGTTACTTTTTGTGTTCAAAACCAGGACCCCGGCGCGCCTGGAGGGATGGCCGCGGAGGGCGCTGAGGGCTGTTCCCACGGCTCTGGGCACTCCCCGGCCCTGCCCGCGCCCGCCTCCCCACACGCTCTGGCGCCCGCGGCGGGAAGGGCCGTGCGGGGGCGGGCGGGGCCGGAGCAGCGCTTCCCCCGCCCCGGAAGTGGCGTCAGGCGCGAGGCGGGCGGGTCGCGGGGGCTGCTGGGCCGCGGCGCCGACTCGCGGCTTCTGGAGCGGCGGAGGGGGATCAGACGTGCAGGTTCGTGCGGGGCCCCGGCTCCCCCCAGGCTCGGCCCCGCTGAGGAGCGACGGGCCTTGCCGGGGCAGGGCTGGCGGCTGGCCTGGCGGGGGGCTTGGCGGCCGGGCCGGGCGGGAGGCAGGCAGGGCGGGTTCCCGGCGCGGGGAGCACGTGCCGCCTGTTCCCCGGCGGAGTTGCGGAGCGGGCCCGGCCGTGCCGGGGGGGGCGGGGGAGCCGCCCAGACCCTCCCCGCCGGCAGCGCTACTCGCGGCGCTGCAGGGCTGGGGCGCTGCGACTGAGGCGGCGCCGGCGGCCCCGCTCCCGCCGCGGGGCCCGGCCCGGGCCGAGGGCAGCGCTCCTGCTGCTGCCGGGCCTGGGTGTCGGAAGGGGGGGTGGAGGCACTGCGGGCGTGTGAAAGTGTCATCAACCAAACTGACGGTCTCCTGGCATAGGTTAGGGGCCCACATTTCAATTACTTAATTACTTCTTATAAGAAACTTCTTATAAGAAACTTCTAATTCTACTCAAAAAAAACCCAAAAAACCAAGCCAAACTATCGTCTGCGAAAACGTGTGGCAGCAGTTAACCCTTACCTTAAATAAAAACCTATATTTTGAGGTAAGAATCCTGTCAGAAGGCTCCGATCTCTGACACAGGGGTTCCTGAACAAGGTATGGTATGAATAACAGTTCCACGTTACTTTATTGGGGAAACTTTCTTATTTAAAAAAGGCTTTTCACTCTGTTACAGTAATGGTAGAACCAGCCTGCAACTAAGCTTTGCCCAGACCTTGACACTAAATGGCTGGTAAGATGAAAATCCACTTGAGAGTTCTTTTAGGATACTCTAGCTAATACAGTGTGGGATCTAACTGTTCTTGTTAAAGGGCCTGACTGTCATTTTTTGCTTGTAATTTAAATCTAATGACTACTTGCATTACTTTGTTTTCATTTAGTGTGGTACTGATGCAAACTGTTGGCACACAGAAGGAACAAGTTAGTGTGGTGTGCTAAGAAAGCCCTTACAATAAAATGTTGTAGGATTTTGCATGTAGTTCAGGCTGTGATTGCTGTTCAGTGCAGTTTATTATCAGTCTTAACTGCTGCACAGCACCTGAAAACTATTGATCTGGAGGTTGTCTTGTGCCAAACGACTGAGCTAAAGAGTCTGAAGTGAGCATGTGCAGACAAGACTAGCATGTCTCTTAAATTAGGCTGCTTCTGGTTTTCTTCTAAATAGGTTAGAGCTCAATCACTGCCTGAACTGAATTCACGCATGGCAAGCTTGAGTCTTTCTTAGTTTTGCCTGCAGTTTGTTGTTACTCACAGCTGCAGGGATGCTTTTTAGAAAAACTTCTCCAGGTGTAAGACTTAATCTAAAGGACCTGTGTCAGGTCTTGTGTTGTTTTACACTTTTTGGTATTGACTTTGAAAATACTGCTAAGGAAGTAGGCTTTGGGGTTTTTTCTCTTTTTAGCAGTGGAGCTGAGCCTTATGTGGAAATTGAATTGCTGGTTCTGGTTATTTTGGTACCTGGGCTGAGGCAGGCTGAGATAGTGGTCAATTAGTTGATCTCTTGGAGAAAGCTGTGACTGCTCCATAGGCTGCCATTAAATTGCACCAAATTGGGTATAATGTGAAAAAGAACACTGGTTTCTCTTACAAGTTGGGTGTGGGGGACAACAGCACAGGGGAATGTTAAGACAGTACCAGCACTAGAACGTGGTGGTGAACTGTCAGTCTCCTGTAGTCGGGGTGGCTTGTGTGAGACATCTCTGAAGTAACTGCATTTGTCAGCTTGGGTGCTCTGGCCTGGGATTTGTAAAGTGCTTTACAGACAAGTGGATCACACGCTGAATAATGGCTGTCAACTAACACTTGCTGAAATCAGGCTTTAAAGAGCCTTACAGTGTTAGGTACAGGTGGAAGCACAGTAGTAGAGACTGGGGTGCATATTTTAAGTCTGTAAGTGCCAAAGAACTACAAGTAAGTCCAAGGATGCAATGCAGTTTCCAGATGAGGAAGATGAGGAAATGGAAATACTGCAGACTGCAGTAGGGTGAACAGTGAGGAATTAAACTACTAGAATAAAAAGACGGGGTGCCAGGTGGGTGTTCAGATGAAGAACATAATTTCCCATGACAAGGGTGTCTTCACATTTTATATCCTTATCTTAAGTGCAACTAGACAGACATTTTTGGATCCCAGTTAATTTTCAGATCAGTAGCTGCTTTCTTAGTGACTGCATGTGATGTACTGGGATTATACCCTTGCTGCCAGTTAAGTAAAGAAGTTGCTTCCAAGGTAAAACATCTTATCTGTTATCAAAGATACTTGATTCAGTATTCAAGCAGAACTCCATTGAAGACAAATTTGTAAAGGAGAGAACTAGACATTTTTAGGATGTATTAATAAATGCAGATATTTTTATTCCTTCCTCCAGTAAGTTCCGTCAACTTTCAGAGATTAGACAAGAGACAAACTTCAGAAATGTTTGTCATTATACCTATGTAGGAACTAAACAATTTTTGTTATTGATGTTTTGCCTAGTGGTGAGAGGTTGGATTTGACTTAAAGAACAAATGTTGGCTCTCAGCTTTGTTGCTGCTCTTAGGCACAAACTGAGAATCTGTGCCTAGAAAAAGGTAAATAAATAAGGCTGTGAAGTGCCAGCTTTTTTAAAATTTATCTTGAATACAGAATGCCAAATGCTGCCTTAAAACCCAAGTATTTTACTTGTGGGTTTTTTCCCCACTTGTTTCATAGTTTCCCCTTGGAGTTTGCAGTGATGTTTATAGTTGCTTCACAGGCATAACGGTATGGCTAAAGAACTTGACTGTTACTGTGTTTAGATGAGGCTACAGTGAAATGCAATGCTCTAGGAATATAAGTCTGTAGAAAGTACTATTCAGTAAGTGCTTTTGCTCTGTGTTCTCTTCAACACAGCTGGTGAAAATGGCTGAAAATGGAAATGGTGAAAACATGTCTATCTTGGAAAGCAAAATCTGTCAGCAAATTGAGGTAAGTTCAATTTATAGTTTGGGATCTGGACTGAGGTGTGGTTTTGGAGGCATTAATTGTCACGGACTTGGCTAATGGAAAGTTAACTTCATGGTGAGTTAGACTCGAATCTTCAGCTCTTTAAAAAATGTTTGTCACAGGTCTATGACAGGTATTTAATACTTTAAGGTAGTTGTAATAGTAGTTTAAGTTGGAAGTTATACTTGCCTACAGATGCTTGTAAGACCACAATTTAAAAACAGGAAAGGTTTAACTTGCTAGCATTTTAGTTGCTATAGCAAGTGAATGTATTATTAAACAATTTATAACCATGTTGCTGGGGTTATTCTATCTATGCAAATAGGAGAAGGTTGAATTTTAATTCTATATACCTTAATTTTTGGGGGGGGAAAATCCTCCTATTCGAGAATCTGTGCTGGTCAAAATATTCACACATTGCATAACTTGCTATTGTGATTTACTGCTTGGTAATTTATTGCTAAAAATTACAACTAAACTTACATGCCTGCTTTGGATTAACTATTTCTCTCTCTAGAGGCTTGGAGGGTTACCCTCCAACAAAAAACCTGAGCCCATCACTTAAAATAACATCTAGAACAAAACTGTTTTTCTGAAGGATAAAAGTATAGCTGCACGTGAATGCCCAATACCCTATGGAGCCATTATTTATATATAACAAACAAAACACAGAGATTGAGAAAAGGTAGTTGACAAAACTAGACTTCTGGTAATGTGAATTTGAGGTACACTAGAGGGAGAGGTATTGTTGTAAAACTTGCACTGACTTTTTAAGGCACTATGATATTGGTGGAAACATTCCAACTTATCCTATCCAACATCCTAGTTAGATGACTGCTAGTTAGGAGAAGAATCTGATTAGCCTGTCTCTTGAACTGAATTGTCTTCCCATGCTGGACAAGATCAAAATAAGGACATAGTAACTAAATAAAATAAAAAATAAAGATTAAGTTTAAAGTAACAATTTTTCAATCTTTTGGTGTTTTGTTGAATGAGACCTAGAAAGTCCAGTTTATGTATATGATTTTTCCAGTGTGCAAATACCATATTCTTGCTTGTACATTCCTTCAATAAGGAGTAAAACCTGAATCTGTTAGTGACAAATTTGACTTTTGACTCTGCAGAGCTTGATCCGGGTGATAGATGCTTATGATGTTAAAAGAACAAGCTTCACTCCTTTCCTAAACAAAACTGCAGTCTATCTTTGCCTCATTAGTCTCATGGGATGAAGCACTGGTGTGCTGTGGCGTTTGTTTCTGTGGGGAGATTGTGTGTTTGTTTTTGCAGCTTACATGTTGCAGCTAACTTTTGGCAAAGTATCATATTAAAGCAGGAAGTAATAATTTCAGAATTCCTAATTATTCAGAGTAATTACTTTTGGTATGTCCAATCAACTGCAGTAAGCTGTCAGATGAAAATGAGCTTTTAAGGCTGAACATTTCAAGACAAATCTCTTTTTCCTCTTCCCCTCCCCTCTTTTTTGCAGTACTATTTTGGCAATCACAATCTACCAAGAGACAAGTTCCTAAAAGAACAGATCAAAATGGATGATGGCTGGGTACCTTTAGAAGTAATGATCAAATTCAACAGGTAAAACAAAGTACAACTAATGTGGATAGAAAAGTAACTTTTAGCTACTTATATCTGTTTGTAGCCAAGTGTTCCCGGTGTGCATGTACAATTCCTGTTGCTGTTTTAACATCCGGCTTCAGCTTTGCCTGTATATTTGTAATAACCTGTGTCTGCTTACTCAATAGGTTAAGTCGCCTTTCAAAAGATTTTAGTGTTATTGTAGAAGCACTAAGAAAATCCAAGACTGGTTTAATGGAAATAAATGAAGACAAAACTAAAATCAGAAGATCTCCAAATAAACCCCTTCCTGAATTAAATGACCAGTATAAGGCTGCAATTAAAAACAGATCTGTATATGTTGTAAGTAAATTTCTTCCTTTACTCTGTGCTTTCTGCATGGCTTTGACTGAAAGCCATCTGAGTAAAGCTTCAATTAACTCATACCAAATAGGTTGTAATTTCTGAGTCAGTTTGTGGAATATAATTGAAGCTCATTGCTATCTTGCAGAAAGGCTTTCCACTAGATGCTACTCTTGATGATATCAAAGAATGGCTTGAGGATAAAGGTCCAGTTGAAAACATTCAGATGAGGAGAACATTGCAGAGAACGTTTAAGGTAACTCTTGCAATGAACATTTAGACCTGGGGCAGGGATCCTCCCTGGACAACATTCTGTTCAATTACTCTAACATTCAATGTCTCTTGCAATTTAACAGGGCTCAATATTTGCAGTTTTTGATAGTGTTGAATCTGCTAAGAAGTTCACAGAGATACCAAATCAAAAGTACAAAGACACAGAGCTGATAGTACTTTT